ATTGTAGTCCCCTGTAGTGCTTCAGCTGGTACGCTGTCACTATGTATGTATCAATGCCGAGTAAGTGCACACGCTATAATCTAACTCCTACTATACGATTCTCGCTATCAAACTCTAATAAACTCAATTAAAAACCAAATTCATGATCGAGTTCCTATTATTGTCCGGAAGAAACCCAGAATAATAGGCCGTCACCGAGGGCCGGGACAAAGGTCTCCGCGACAGCCACGCAACCAGCCCCAAGCTGGGTGCCGACTGGCGAGCACCGTGATCGCATCATGCTGCTTTTCCATCTAATTGTGTTCTAATTCCTGATATATTGAATAGTATTCATTCCTATCCATGACTTCAGGCCTCTGGAGGCAACGCCCGAGCTCCATTGTAGTGCCTGTGCACTACACTCCCGACACTACATAATTCGATGAGCTCCTTGACACCCCGACAATCTGCTTGTCATTGAACAGATAGGTCACGCCGTTTTTTGCCGTAGATCTATTCCTACCTGTGCGATTCCTTCAAATGGAAGGATGGAAGAGGCGGCNACGCCGTTTTTTGCCGTAGATCTATTCCTACCTGTGCGATTCCTTCAAATGGAAGGATGGAAGAGGCGGCTGCGGAAGAGCTCGGGACAGATACCGGCATCGTTCGATGTCGCATCGGAGATTATGTGAAAGAGCCGACGGGCAGTAAAGAGGTGCCTATGGCAGATGTAATCACACGCCACGTCAAGCAAGTTGCCGATTTTAACAAAGCCCTCGAGAAACGGCGGCTGTGGAAGAAGAGAGAAAAAGAGCTCGAAGCGAAGCACGAAGACACATGTACGGGCACGTCAGTCGTAGCTATGTGTGCTTGGCACTTCTTTGCGCTATCAGCATTCCACTCCGTTCTTGGAAATGGTGTCGTCTTGAGGAACGTGCATTACGCATGTTCCAATGGAAACCAGGTGTAAAGCGTGTGCTCTCTCGTTGATAATTGTACACCCCACGACGACCCAAATGCGCTAGGGTTACTTGTGTTTCCATACTTACAGGGGGAGTCCTCAAATCGGAAGGGCGCACTAAGNCAAATGCGCTAGGGTTACTTGTGTTTCCATACTTACAGGGGGAGTCCTCAAATCGGAAGGGCGCACTAAGGAGCGTACGAAGAGCCCGGATATCGTCTCTAGTAGCGCCAAGAGGGTCCTAGACTCTATAGTAGTCGAAGGTGTCGATGAAGATGTGGTGAAACGAGTGAAGGTCAGCTCTTCCTGGTTGAGTGTTCGTGTTTCAGCCCTCCGTACCGATTGCCTGCCCCATGAACATATTCCCTACACTCGTCGTGTGCGCATTCGTGTCTTCAGGAAAAAGTCGCACGGGAATTTGGTTCTGTTGATGTTCATGCAGCCATCAGGCAAAGAATTGCCAAGCAGAAAGAAGCGCGACAACTGCAGCTGCAGAACGATGTTTCCGATGCGTGGATGCCCGACAGATTTTACACCGAAGAGTTAAAGCAGGTAAAACGTAGGTGCGCACAGGCTCTCGTTTCCACGTTCAGGGCTTCTTTGGCGCGACGTGTATGTGATAGCGAGCTTCTGTTCCGCCATCATTCCTTCAGAAAACGCCATGGTTTAATCCTGTCGAATTCCTTAACGAGTTTAAACCCCAGCAGCGTGAGGGGAGGTAAGTNAAACGCCATGGTTTAATCCTGTCGAATTCCTTAACGAGTTTAAACCCCAGCAGCGTGAGGGGAGGTAAGTCACGATCTACATCCCTGTAACATTTTCTCCTGCCATGATGCGACAATTGTTGCCTCCTCAGTCTGGAACACAACAAGCGGAGGCAGCCGTCTCCATCCCTGAAGGACAGACGTTTCGATGTGATTCATGTATCCAAGCAGTGCTCGTCAACAGTTGTGTAGGATGTGCTTTTGACGGGGTCTGCACATCTACAGGTGTGATCCTGCTTTGATGTGATGTACAGCCTTACCCCTGTCGCGTCCGACAGCGAGAGTGATTCTAAGGGAAGCAAGAAAAAAAAGAAGCGCAAGAAGGAGAAAAAGAAACGCAAGAAGAGCAAGAAGAAGCGGAAGGACTGACACTGCATTGACCTGCTGAAGAGATTAAGGTAAACTCGGACATTGGCGGTCCTCAAGCTTGAAGGCAAAATGCATTTCACACGCAAGCAGCAAATCCTTGGATTATTCATTTTCTCCATCGGGCACAGTAAGGTTGATCTGTTTTAGCCCTCAACAGTTTTTTGTTCATACAGTGCATTTGCTGTCTTCCTCGAAGTCGTATCCGATGGGGACAAGGCAGATCTGTCATATGTTGATTCCGTTTAGTTCCATCGCATAGCGGGTTACTATTGACGTACTTTGGTGGTTTGCTATCTTCACTAAAATTTTGAAAGCAAATTGCAAAGTGGTGCTAGTGCACCTGCGTTCTGCAAATGACAAGTGCTCTTCTCCGGAATTCCCTTTTTTTAGTGACTCTGAGGAAGACGATACCTACCGTTCACTGGTGGGAGTTGGAGCCCCTGAAGTCCCTTTGCCCTTGCGTTAGGTCTGGCAACGGCTGCGTTGCTCGCACTACTAGAAAAGCATAGGGAAGTCATGACTAGAACCAATAAACCTCTTTGAACACTTAAAGTCATAATTGCTGTAAGCTCTACTAGTATACGTGTTGCGACAACTACCGATCACTGATGGGAGGAGCCACCGAAGTTCTTTTAGCTTTGCGTTAGGTCTGGCCATGGCTGCGTTGCTTATTAGGCCACTGCGCAGAAAACCGTGCCATTTTTTGCTCCAGAGTAAAGACCCCTTTCAGTTATTTCGTGCGGCGTCCGTCACGCTCTAACACATTTTAGTAGCAGTAACGGGAGTATATAGCTGCATCATGCACTTATTCGACTGTGAAAGAAAGCTAATCAGCTTCCCATCGACCAGAACTTGAAGCGTTTAATGATTGTCATCCAGTCTGATGATGGGGGAGACTGGAAGACCGGAGTTATGGGGTTAGACTGCTGAGAGTTGGCTTACAAGCGCCGGGCGTCCGCTGAACACGCCAGACTTATCCCATTCAAAAGCCACCTAATCTAATGTTTACATATGGGTTGTGCACCCAGGACAGCCACCAGCATTTGTTTCCAGGTCTGTCGTGCCAGGCCACTTCCATGGTCCTGTGGGGACTGAGGAAAGCTGATCAATTCGGATACAAGAAGACGCGACCTCCTGTTACTACGTAGGCAGGAAACCGTAGAGTTAGCCAAAATTCAGTCCTAAGGAGGTAACACTAGATTGCTCTTCCCCAGTGTGGTTGACCAGATTACATCCAAGTACCAGGAGTACGTAGGCAGTGATAGGATTGTGCGGTTATTTTTCTGCCACACTTGCTTACCAATGTACCTTTTTTAGCCGATGGGACCTAAATATAAATTAAGACTTGCGTTTTCCATCACCAGCACTCCTTCTGACGTCCCGGGAACGTGCTGCAAAATGTCTCCTTAATGCAGAACCGCTGCATCCTTATACCCGGAACGAGCGTATTTTGGACATATACTACAAACAAATACTTTTTTCAGTGATAGAAGGGGCGCTGAAGAGTGTTCTGAAGCCCTGCATAGACAGTACTGAAGGCGACGAAGAGCCCAGTGCCAATAAGCTTGNCTGAAGAGTGTTCTGAAGCCCTGCATAGACAGTACTGAAGGCGACGAAGAGCCCAGTGCCAATAAGCTTGGGCTGGAGGACACGGGTCAACACATACTTCCTGTGTCCACATGGATTAGCCGCGGAGCTTCTAATGGTATTCCGAACACAATTTCAATGTTGCTAATATATTGAAGTTGTGTGTAAGTCAGAAGGAGAAAATTCCCACGGCTGTATTCTGCTTGCTGCCCCCAGACTGCATCCCTCTACCCGGTAGGAGGCGCAGAGGGAGGCTGCTATCTCGTGGAAACCACTCCCCTGCACCTCGTTAACACAACTCCGAGTACTTGTATATCTGAACTTCGAGTCTGACAATTTTTGTTGGCCCCTAGGGAATAGTCGGGGCGCGGACAGGCCGATCACCTCCTGTGTCCAGTAGGTGACCACAGTAATAGACCGTCCTCCCGTTATTTCACTTTCAAAGAACTCCTTCTACGTACATGAATGATGACTGACTTATCTTTTGAATATAGCCATTCTGGAGGCTAAGGCCTGGTCGTCGGGTATAAGCAGCAGTAGAGCCGAATGGGAGAGGTGAGGAGGCTACAGCAGTCACCGTTGAGAAGCTGCTAACTGTTGCAGGTTTCCATCCCCTTTATTATGGGTGTCTCAGGTTTTACTCTGTCTGGGGAAAATGCTCTGGGTTCGTTGCTCACTCTTGCTTCTACTGGGGCTACTTCTCTTCTGCTTAAAAGGCAAGAAGCCCTTGTAATATGCAGATGATGTATAATCGGTATACAGCATAAATAATACTTTCCACAAAACCGTCACCGCATGCATTTTTGCTCTTAGCGTTCTGGTCTCGTGCATACATGGCTGCAGCTGTGAATAACTTTGGCAGGGGTAGATAGCCTCACGTTACATTGTTTCGTTGATCAGGTGCTCTTCTGTTGTAGTTTCAACTCCTCCACAGAGTTCCCCCAGTGCGTTGCAAATGCACAGAATACTGCCAAACCGTTGCGGCAGCAGAAGGCCTACTTGTAGGGAAGATAACTGGACTACGCCAAAGACCTGCGAGTGTGAATTCAGCTGCAAGTAGCCAAGTGAGCCAGCATGAAAACAACAAAAGATCATCAGGGGACAAAGGGAATTAGTACACATTTAGAACACCTCAAGTTGTTCGGCCGTTTATGGGCGGCTCCATGGCTTTTTCTTCCACGTATCTCCCATGACGTCTTCTTGAGAAGTGTTGCTACCCTTTCGGCGACCCCCAGCTCATTGGCCTTGTGCTAGATGTGACTGTTGCGTTACCACTTCATCAACAGGGGCAGCAGCAAACCACTTCGCAGGTGGGTCTTCTCAGGGATGACAGCTCCTCAGAAAAGGAACGTTCTCTAGGCCTGCTAGAGAGGAAGCCGAATGAGACTGTTGCTCGCGATTTGAACATTTCAAGTGCTGAAGTGCAACGGAACCAGGGAAGTGAAGGCGAGGAGGGGAGCGTGAAGGAAAGTAGAGAAAGACCTCAGTGCAGTCACGGATGCAAGAGAGATTGGCTTGGCGACGGCTGGTGCGACAGCGCTTGCAACACGGAGGCATGCGGCTTCGACGAAGGAGACTGTATAGGTTGGTGTTCGGGTGATTGCAAACCTTCGTGGGAAGGCGACGGCTATTGTGATGCAGCGTGCTATGTAGCCGCATGCAACTGGGATCGAGGTGACTGCTCAGGATGGAGGAATCAGGGTGTGCAGCCAGTGGAACGCCGAGCACTGCAACAGAAGATGAAGCAGCTTCAGCAGCACCGTCTCAAGCTGCCCGAATGTAAGTGTGAGCGCAGGCTTCTTGTGAATGGCTCATGCACACCAGAGTGCAACGTTCCTGAGTGTCTTTTCGATGGCGGCGAGTGCCTTGATATGTGCAACGCTAAGTGCTCAAAGTCCTGGTTGGGCGACGGAGACTGCGACCGCGAGTGCGACACCACCGAATGCGGTTATGACAAAGGCGACTGCGACAGCATGACGAACGCTACTCTGCAAACGATGCGTAAACAAAGTGGGACCGGAGAAGTATGCGATTCCACGTGCCGACTGTGGATGATTGGCAATGGTGTGTGTGATAAACAATGCAATAATGTCGCATGTGGGTATGACAACGGAGACTGCGATAATATCACTGCAGTTGTGGAAGTAGACTACTCCGTAAAGCCTGAGGGGGTGTACCAATTTTGCGCCAAGGAGTGGATAGGCGACGGGCACTGCGACGCTAACTGTTACAACAAGCCTAGCAGATGGGATGGAGGTGACTGTGAGGGGACAGAGTTCGAAAGGGAACAGGCAGCTAAGGGCGTCGGGCCTCAGTTTGATCAGTAAAGAGCAAGTGACGCTTGCTGTTTACTGTGTACTGCCGCATTCAACTGCGACGGATGTGTACCCTGAAGTGGTTAGTTACACTGCTGACGGGGTCATCTATGTTCTGCCCATAGTGTGGAACGCCAGCGCACTGGCCTAAATGTTGCTCACACTGGCAAACCGTCAGCGAATCGAGCAAGAACCATGCAGTATGAACCTCACGAAGTGAGAACCATCAAAATTTTATCACTTTCTCTTCGATCCTCTTTTAGCTTCTTTACAATGAAAACTTCCGCACATACGGTGGCGGGCATGNCCCAAACTCGACTCGTGCGCTAACCTCCATAGCTCGTCATCGAACTGAAATTTGGCAAGGCCTGAAACGACTTTTCGCGCAGTCTCAAGTGCGATTCAGGAACACTCCAACTAGGCACCGCGGCACGAAATTCCAGGGGGGAAAAGTATATTAAAACCCTTCGGTCAAATTTCCGCAAGTTAGCATGCTGTTAAAGGGGGCATCGACACAGACATGTAGTATATGGCCGTAGGTCCACCGACGTACGCAGGCCAGCCTTCGGCTCACGAGGGCTTTCAAAGGCACAGGGAACAGGATTTTCGCCAAGACGGTGGCTAGCTAAATAGAGGAGGTGCCCTACGAATTCAAAGAATACTTTGTTTAAATCTGAAAATCGTGTTTCTTTAATCCGCGAAGTTGAAGAACGGCACGTGCCGTTGCAGGAGGAAGGCCTCGTCGAGGCTGGCCTACGTCACGTCCGCGTATGCGTGTCTAGTACTTCCCAATAGATTCTTGCCTGTATACAGCTAAACATAATAACGGGAAAGCACGTCTTTGAATAAATAAGGGGCCTCTGCGGCTAGATGACGCTTTTTGTCGGCTGACTGCTCTGGTCGCCGCCTGTCTTACGCGCTGGGGCGCGAAGTCGGCAACGAGGGATAAATAACCACGGCTGATTTCCACTAAATACCCACAAAAAGATATGTAAGTGCATAAATGAACGATTACTGCATAATATACTGATCAGGGTTCAATTAGGTGCCGCCGGATATATCGGAGCTTGGTGGTTGCAGCGGTTTGGCCGCTGTCCAAACCATCGGCCCAGGGGCCCCAGCGCGGTTGCCGCGTCGTTGGCTGGCTGCAAACCGGGTAACCTCCTTGCACGCTACATTATTATTTGGGCACCATATTATATATTTGGGTTTTTAAAACAGTCCAATTAACAACTTATATGTATCTCTTGTCTCGAAAACGAGGCGAGCATTCTTCGGGACTCCACGAGCCAACAGCAGTAGGGTGATCTGTCTCTTCAAACCGGTTTGGCCTCCTTCAACCAGACAAATTCATTTTTTGAGATACAGTTCGTTTTGGAAACTATTCTCTTGTTTCGGGCTTGCTACTGCATAGACACCGTTCCTGTGGGAAGAAAATCCCGCTCAACTGGGAAAACGGGCGAGGGCCACCAAGTCGAACTTGGTGAGCTTGCTGGTCAAGGGTTTCAACCGCAGGGTCTTCTCCTGTGTAGCTGTTTCCCTCTTTGATCTTTAGTTACACAGTCCAACTCAAATACACAAATACGTCCTTAAAGGCAAGCCAGGGCGACTCTTGCAGTTATCTGGCGGCTCTTCCCAGTTTTCAGCTAGGTGAACTATCTTGAGGAGCCCTTCCGAATGGCTCCACAATGTAAGGGGGTTAAGAACCTCCCTAACAGAATGGGGTCTTCCCCCTCACCGGGCGCATCTGTTCATCGCCCGGATTACATGTTGGATTCCAGTACAGGGCAGGCGTGCAAGATGCGAGCACGAAGCCATCACTCGTTCGGGAAGAAAATTTCGGTGGCCGTCATGTTCGGAGTACTTCTGGCTTTGACTACATCCATAAGTGCTGAACACATACAAGGTAAGCAAACCATTGCTTTGGGAATACATACGATGGCTGGCTTCTGGATTTGGTGACTTCACAAGGACGTGGAAAGTCATGCATTCATATACTTTGACCCGAAACGACCTTTTATGTACTGTTTCAGGATTTCCCACACAAGGAGGCNACGCACTTTGCAGAAAACTGATATGATTTGGGCTGTCTCGTAGTGTGTCCAAAAACGCCACTTTAGGAGACATAAAGGGAGTTGATGAATTTATATCAACTACGGGTTGCGTACTTTTCAGGTGTCAACCTGGGCTTTGGAGCCCCCCTTAGAGGACTCATTCTACTCCCATGAGGTTGCCCTAGGGGAGGCTCAACTAGCGCCGCCCGTTACTGCTTCGCCGACAAGTCTGATTCAGAATGCTGCAGGTCCTCGAGAAGCCGGCGGAGACTCCGCAGCATCTGGAGAAGGACCAACGCAAACACCGTCAATGTCCGTTGGGGATGGCGCTGCACAACCACCGGGCGCTGCTCCACAGCAACCAATCCATCAACCGCCGGCAAGTCAAGCACAGACACCTTCACGTGGCAGTAGCAAAGGAACACGAGACTTTCTGGGTATCTGATGGGGCAGAGACACATACTTGTCCCAGTCCTCCAACCTCCTAGTCCTAGCATCAACAAAGCGAGGCGATGGTTCCACATTTCACTTTCATACCGGCTTTCACGTGCTTTCAGGCATCGGAATTTGCGCAGGGCACTACCGTCCTGAAAGGAGTTACGATATCGGTCAGCTCGTCCATGATTCAGGGTGCCAAGGTGATCCAAGTTGCCGCCTTTAAGGGAGGTGCCGCCTTGGCCGTCTTCAATCTTACCACGACAACTCCAGAAAAGACAAAGTTGCTTCAGGACCTATCCGCACTAGCTGCAAACCCAGAAGCCCGGTTTGAGCTGACNTGCTGCCGCTAGCAAGCCAACGGTATGTCCAGCTTACAGTAAGAAGAGTTCACGTCCATAGGTTTTGTGTGGGCGAGCGCTCCACACATTGAGAACATGTCGGACGTTTTGAATGTGATCAGCTGACCTTCAAGTTCAACTTCAAGCACGTGGTGGGCACACGAGAAAGCGTCGATACTGTAACCGCCACAATTCCGAAGGAAGTGTTGCTGCAGTTCAAGAATCTTATGGAATTCAAAGATTGGCTGGCTGCAAACGCGCATCCCCCTCTCCTCAGGCAAGGAGCGGCGTTCCAGATAATCCGGATGAGGTTGGTTAGTGCGGAAAAGCAGCGGTTTGAAATTAAAGGCGAAGAGCAAGCGCTGCAGTGGCTATATCAAGTCGCGACAAGAAAAGAGCCAGTTTTGTCGGTGACTGGGGACCTGGAAAGGAACGTAAGCCAGTGCTGCCCGTGCTTTCGGCAGAAATACACTTGAATAGCTACATCAACTGCATTAGCATCTAGTTCCATAATGTTGTGCTTGCAAATGACCTAAGATATTGTTGTTCCTGCACATTGCTTCACAGGCCGTTGTTGAGATTCCCTACGTTGAAAACCTCACTTGGCCCATGTTGCTCAAGCTGAAGGGCTTAGTCGATGAGTCGGCAAAGGGACATACTTCAGTTAGCTCATTTGCAGGAACAGTACCCGGGATGAAAACAGAGAAGTTTAGTGTACCCACCTCTTGGTTTGGGTTGTCACCTGAACAACAGTATGAGCTCTGGCTGAAAGGCCGGCAACCCGGTGCTACTGGAATCACCCCTGGCCAGCTAAATCTTTCCGGGCTCTTTGGCCCTGGGTACACTGCTGGATCCCCCCCACTCTTCTTCTTTGATCATGCTGGCCAGCCCTTCGGTGCAAACAAGCAACCTGACAATCTTTCTCTCTTTGGCACGCGGATGACGCCTGTGGAAAAAGTTCCTGACTACGTGGCTGGACAATTTTCTCCAGCGGTAAGCGAATCCCCAACGGAGCGCTCCCACTTGTGCGAGTAGCCACATAACAGCAACTGCACTAGGTTGATACCATAGTTATCCGCACTTTGCTTACGTGTCTTTCTTTACAGTTACTTGCAAAGATTGTTTTTCCTGGAGGCGCTGCTGCTACTCACACAATTAGCCCACTACGCGAGTGGCACAAAATGGAAAAAAGATACCCAGATTTGCGAGCCACTCTGGCTCCTAAAGAGCCTGAAAAACACGGCGCCCTCTTGAGCGTAAGTGTAAACGGGAANACCCCACACTTCTCCATCTACTGGCGCACCTGGCCAGCGAGGATCCGTCCTTCGTTGTCAACGAGATCATCCTCAATTTCGGAGCAAGCGTGCCGCGTTCAGTGCAGTCCATATTTATTTTGGAAACCCCTGAAGGTGTGCAGCCATGGTGTATCTTCCAATACGAAATTCCCATCACCAGAAGAAACACAATTGTGATCAAGTCTCTCCTGAAAAAGGCACGACAAACTGCGGAGTCGCCCCGAGGGTGCAATATTCTTAACGCCAGAGGTTTGCGGTTCGAGACAATTACAGCGGTAGCCAATGTAGTTCAGCGCGAACCGGAACTGAAGACAGCGAACAGGCAGCAGCTCAACTTCAAGGGTTCATCAGCAGAATGCAAACGTCTAGGCGCCATATTTACAGAGGCCCACAAGAGAGGCGAACCTCTCGCCCTATACTTTAGCGCAACGGTATGCCTTGAACGCTTTAAATGCAAGAAGGTGTTCACGAAGTATCGTGCGTGAGTGTTGTGCACTTTCTTTCGTGTTGTATTTGTTGCTGTTTGTGTGCCTCAGCACTTACTGAAGGGCAGTGTAGAAATACCGAGGTTTGACAAGGCAGGTCGGGAAAGAAAGCCCAGTATCAAAACGGTAACGTCCAGGGTGAAAATGAACGAGACATACCCAGAGTTGCTGTCTGACTTCCAAAAGCCATTCTTGAAGTACAAAGTGCCAACAATGGAGTTTCCATACGTCCAGCACAAAGGCAAGCCAGAGGCAAGCGCTCTGCCGCATGGATATATCCCAGAGGGATTTTATCATGAATCACCTGGAAAAGTAAAGGTCATATGGCATCCTCAGGTATGCTGCACTGACGTTGAGTAAATGCTGTTGTGAACCCTTGCATTTCAGCTCTTGCAGATGCCGTTGTAGTGGTGGCTTCCCTTACATCGAAAAACACTAGTTTCTTTTTTGTGTGACGTAGTTCCCGATCCTTGGTGCCCAAGACACATTTACTGATGAAAGCGGTCCTCATAAGGCTGGAGAGACAGTGAACATCCCCCTGCGCCCGGGAACTGCGGCTCTTACGGGCCCTTTCACTGTTATCCAACACTGGCTCAGGCAGCATATCCCGAACTTACAGCTCCCTATAGACCTTGAGAGTATGCCTGCCGAGGACCGAAATTCTCTTTTCAACAAGATCATCATTGAAGTTGAGGGTGGCGAGAAGGTTAGGCTAATCGATATCCTCAAGCCACTTATTCACACGCCTAATTGGAAAGCCTTGAACCCTGCTGAACTCCAACTACCCTACCACCTCTTGACCTTGCCAATCAAGAATATGTTTGTAGAGGTGAGCAATGCAGTGTAGCTGACTGGGAGACCGTTGCTATTTCGTTGACATTAACGTCTAGTTTGGCTTTAGTGCAGAAAATTTTGATTACTATGAGGATCGGTTGTATTCTACAGGGGAACTTAGAATTCATTGTCTCCACCCCCCAGGGAGGACAGGAAGCCCACACTGTCCCTATACGTCCTGGAGAATCATGGGGTGAAGCTGCAGACAGTTTCTTCCACAGATACCCTCAGTTCGACAGAGAAAAAACAAAACTTTCATTGTTCGACGCTAATGGAAACCCGGTTGCAGTTCGACCGGATTCTCCAGTTTATGTGGGAATTAAAGAAGCTGTCCAGCAGCGGCGTAAGGTGAGATTCGTTATTATTTTCCTGCAGGAAGTCTGCCTGCATTGTTAAAGTTCTAGTCCTAGCTGTGGTTGCTCTTCACTTTTTTACTTGGACAAGAAGCATGCTGTCTGACATTTTTAGTGTTGACGATGCATTTGCCTGCTTTAGGGTCTTCAAATAACTTTAGAAACACCTGCCGGGAAATTCACCACATGCTACCGCCCAGACGTGGAGACGAATAAGTGTCTTGTTGTTTCAATGCATACCGTATTTTGCGGAAAGATAAAAGGCCTTTCTGAGCGTGCTGAAAGATGGGAAAAGCAGTGCAATGCTGCTGATGTAAGTTGAATTCACTAGGGCTGACTAGAGTTTAGGGTTTAGGGTTTACGTCTTGTATCTACGGAGGCANTTATTTGGGTTGACTGGGGTCATTTGTTCCTGGGGTTCCATTGATAGTTGAGGGTTCAATGCAGCCATCAAAATGTTTTTAGAGCTTCAAATTAACACGACCATCCTGAACTGTGATTCTGTTGACAGATGCGGAGCGCGCATGTTGATGAAGTTCAGCGGTTCATGGAGCAGGCATTAAGGGGAGCAGACCTAGTCCGGCCCGTCAAACTTCGTGACCTGCTAGCGATTGTAAGAAAATATATAGCCTCCACTCGGCCTGACGTGCTGACACAATTGAACTTGCCCGATTTGGCTACTTCGCAAGCTGAAATCGCAAAGCTCAAAGCCCAAGTTGAGAGGTTGAGGGCTAAACCAGATAAGACGGCTGAAGACTACGATTATATTCAAGCAATTAGGCGAAAAATCAAGATGATTTTAGCGAAAGAAACAAAGTGGGCGATACCATCATCCCTAACATTCTTTCATGTCAAGGAGAAGGGAGTCGAGAGAGACTTGACTGTGCCCATACGGAATCCGGAGCTAAGATT